GCTAGCATGCGTAAATTCCGGCACACGCAAGTAATCTTCACCTTTCAATTTCTCCAAAGCTGCATAGAGCTTTTCCAGGGGACAAGAACCTGAAACTATTGGATTTGAGCGATCATAATACACAAATTATCGAAAAATTGTGTGTGGGAAAATGTTGGAATGTATAATTACTGCATAATTTTGACAAGAAAATTTTACGCTTTTGACGAATAAATCTTTGCTATTTTTTTGTTCAAATAAACATTAAACAATTATCATTATTATTTATCATTATTTTGCTAATCATCATTTTTATCACTATTTTTATCATTTTTATCAGCAGTTTAGAAAGAATAACGAACCTGTGATAAGAATACGAGTGACCGGTTTCGTATGGTCTGCAGGATGCCAAACCAGAAGTAAAGCAAGCGATGTTGCAGCCGCATGTTTTTCGATATTTTCATCGGTTTTTAGTGCATTTGCAAGAGATGTTAGCTCTTTGGAGCCTTTCTCTGGATTCAACACAATCATACGCAATGCACCTTCACCAATTACCTGGAAAAAAATGAGTGCTTTATGGAATTCATTGAAAAAATCATCGCAAAAGCATGCAAATTATTCGCTGCATGAAAGAATCGGTGAATTTTTAACAAAAAGAACAAAAAAAGTATAGAATTTTCCAAAGAAAAGGGAAATTCCTGTGTTTTTGTGAAAATGAGTCAAATATGTTATTACCTCATATAGCGTGACTGGTTCCATTTTTGCACTGGTGAATGCTTCGATCGGTTTCAGTCCTTCGGCACGCAAACCATCATACATTGCTCGGAGTACTTTTGCTGCCTCACTTTCGCCATTTGCAATGCTTGGCGGTGGTAAATTGCAAATCAGTGAACCAAAATTTGGATGACACTAAAAAAAAGAAAAGAAAACCATGATATATCATACATTCCAGAAACTCAGTTATGCGCAAAAATAGCTATAACCAAAATTATCACGATCACCCAGACAAATAATATTCCAATTTAAGAGATTTTTGAAGATTCGATCCAAAAATCGCTACATGGAGACCTGACATAGCTGCGCGCTACCATATCCAGGGTTCTTGTCAGTACCAAAGGTAATAATACTGTTGCCGGGTGAAAATTTCAAATTTCATAAAAATAAAACTTTTGGTGAATATACATTTCTTTTCTTAGAGTTACTACTGTACCTTTATTATTATTATTATTATTATTATTATTATTATTA